AACAAGTCATTTTGCCGACATTTTTTAACTAAAGATAAAACTTGTGTTATTAAGTTATCAAGTTAAAATATTTTATACACAATCAAATAAATTACTTACTTCTCCCCAGTATAGATTTGGAGGAAGTTCAGGAAACTTTGTATACACATCATATGCAACGTTTTTCATGAACCATGAGAAATCTTTGCATTGTAGTTTATCYTTCAATTCTAATTGTTTGGATATATCACCCATGTCTAAGTAGCGTGCTAACGGTTCTCGAGTATAAAAGAATTCTTTGTGTTTATTGTCAAACCATGTCTCAATCACACGTTTGTAATTCTGAAATATTAAATATAGTATTGTAAGAATAATATTTTAAAATGTAAATGATCAAAAATATTTAATACGCACATAAGTAATCAAAGGTCCTTTAACCTTTTTGCCAAGTTCACCAAAATTATATGGCATAAATCCACGGTAAACATGTCCAACTCTGGAACAAGGGACCCATTCAATACTACCACCACACTGCCAAACCTAATATTAAATATATAAATCCTATTAACTTTAAAATAATTCAATAAATATAGGCAATTATACTTTAACTGTAAACTTTAGATTCAAAAATGTGCGATATTTCTACTGAATATAGCTAAATTTAAAATTGTGTTAATATGCATTAAATATAATATAAATTTTACTTTGAATGACAATTCAAAATTTTCTCCTCCCCAAACAAGTAACCCTGGATCATATGCTCCGAGTTCTAGAAAATAATTTCTATCTATGGCAAAAAGACCACCTGCGTGAGTTGGGGACCTTGAAATAATTAAAGTGTATGTATTATTATTTTGAAATTAAATGTATTTATGCACATAGAAATTAAAAATGAATATTTATTACTTATAAGGTTCACTTTTGTAAATTCGTTTTCGTTCTTCTTGAGCAGGTATTTCAATTTCTTTATAGAGCATACCCCATTCAAATATACCACGGAATAAATGATCTTTTTCGTAAACTGGACGATACTCCCAAGTATTATGATCAATTCCATCAATCACAGGTACTGTCATAATTTTTCTGGTAAAATAAAAAGTAATATTAAATCTCATGTGTAAATAAAAGCTTAAGAATAATTTCTACCTATCTCGGGCAATTGGTGCAATTAATGGTGGTAACCAATTGTATCCAACTTCGCAATGAGCATCTAAGAATAAAATTACTTCCCCCCTAGCATTTGAAGCACCCTTTGATCGAGTTCTAATCAGTCCTTCACGTTCAGAATTTCTAATTAGTCTTACTTTGCCATTAAACTTTTCAATATAATATTCTAGTTTCTTTTTTAAATTTTCTGAAAATATATTAAATTTAAAAATGAAACAGCTTTTAGTAATTTTTCTCAATAGGTACTAAAAATTACCTTTATTACTAAAGTCGTCAACCAAAAGAATTTCTTCCAAAAATTGAGGTGGAGTTCTATTGAGAATACTATGTACAGTTCTCAATAAAGAAGACCAACCTTCATTATGAAATACTATTATTACACTAGTACGTGGTAATTTTTCTGGATAAGTCCAATATTTACACCTGTGGAATTTAACTAATTAAGTAAAAATGTCAATATATAAATTGTATATAATGTAGTATTACTCCTCTTCGCGATGATCTGGAATTGATCTATTTAGAGAGATATCGTCTGAGCAAGCCATATTCATGCCATATTCGGATAGAGACTGYAAAGCTTCATTTTCTCTGTCACTCGGAACATGATGAGCTTTACCTTTTTCTCCAGGACCCGGTCTATTAGTTGAAGTAGAATACTCAAAATTACCAAGGATTTGATCACGGTAAATTGGTACCTAGAAAAGATGAAATGCTTRGTAAACATTTCATAAACAAACATAAAATTCATAAAATAAATATAAATACTTAGATACCTGATTTGAAAATCTAGAATGTTTGGGAAACGTTGATTCATGTGAGTTTTGTATATTTTCTGAACGTTTATATAAAGCCAATAATAATAGTAAGATAATAAAAGTACCAATACTAATTTTGGCGAATTTGTTGCGCTTTAGCTGAATAATTCTAAATCTTAAAGACATTTTTGATGATAGGAAATGAATACCTAAGATTAAAAATACGATTAATTGTATTTGATATTATATGCATTTAAATTTTAAGCATCCACTGTGTGACATGTAAATATGTAATGGTAATTCTAATCTGAGTATAATTGTGTTATATATTTTATAGAATAATTAGGTATCACATTAAATATAAATAAGACGTTGTTGGTATTTATTTACTTACATTAGCAATATCAAATATACAAACGGTGTAAAAATATAATTAAGTAGTTTAAGTAGTTAAGTCCCGGTGTTATATAATCGAATGCAATCGTATTAACGTACGCAATAATGGGAAGATGACATTATACCAAATAATATAGGAGAATTTGTACATGTTTAGGTATGTTTATTGTTGACGTATTAAATTTTAAATTTTATGGTTTTTGTTTGCGTGATAACGCAATCGATGATAAGAAAAGCACTATCAATTTACAATAAAGATACACGTCGTAACCACAATAATTTATATCTTTGTGGTTGTAACCATATATTTTTGTATTAT